GAGGAACAGATTTAACATTGTTCATGTTTTTACTAAAACATGTATCTGTACAGCCCAAAGGACTTCAAAAAGTTGTTATTTTGCCATACCAAAAAAGTCAATCGTCCAAAAGACTGATTTTTACACAAATAAACTGTTGTGTTAGCGCTGCCAGTTATTATACTGATAAATAAGAGAGAGAAAAATGGAAATCTACAGCAGAGTAGCGGTCTTTGCCAATGGGCTATGTAGCTGCAATACAAAATATGATTTTCCACCATTTGTATGAAACTGAAACTATAATGGATTAGAAGACCAGAACAGTCTCCCCTCCATGTGAGGATCAGCGCTGGGTCTGAGCACAGTGAGACATGGACGTATAAAAGTTTAACGTGGAGCAGAAGGTGCTGATAGAGTTACATAGAAACAGGAGAGGCCAGTGGAAAAGACACATCAGACACAGCTACGGTGGCTCGGAGGGACAGTAGACACTAAACACCAGAGCTTTCTGCGGTATGTTGGAAGCTGCTGATCATTCATCGAGAAAACAAACCCAACTACAAAATTCTGAATCCTATTATTATTGCATCCCTTTTATATGGCACTGTTTGGACACTCAAAGACACTTCACATGTCAATATTCATTTGCTACAAACACGGTGGTGAAAAAACACTAATGTAGCCAAGTCCCAGGGCAGGTGTGGCTACATTAGTGGTAACCAGTATGTGCCATCAGCCAAGATCACCACCAACCATTCACCAACACATCAGGGTCATTCTCAGCAATGTAGGTGAAGTTTGGCACTTTACAGTTTGGCACTTTACAGCCGCACCTGGTGTTCCGAGAGGTATCCCATCACAGTACAAACATTCAAATGAATGGCTTGTGCTCAGTAGCGCAAGGGACTTCACAGGCGCTGACATATCAGAGGAACTCGGCTATATTTGGGCATCGTCTGGTCCTCCCGATTCTGCGCCGTGGATTATCTTCCATGATGCGTTGCGCCAAATACGCGTGCGTGGGAGGGGCACAGAGGGGCTCGGCCGCGCTCTGACCATTCAGAACCGCTCATCCGAGCAGCAGAGCGGAGTCAGAGCGGGAAAGAAACGAGCAGAGTTTGTGGCAGTAAAGTGTGGATTTAAAGAAAACCGAAGGGGAAAAAAAGGATGACAAGGAACACTAAAATCCCCACAAAATCCGATCTTTCTGAAAGCTGTAGGTTCTCTGTCAGCTGAGGTCGAGCTGTTTCAATTTACATTGAGATCTATTGGACTTTTTCTGGGTAGCCCACGTGAATTTAGTCTGCAGTACAGCGCCCCCTGTGCCCATGGGTGGGACAGCTATAAGCTAGTAATACCCTATCCAGTTATTATTATAGATCCATGAACAAACTCTGTCCTGTTGTTTTCAAACTCATTACACAATAACAAATCCTCAAAGAACGACGTCATGGGCCGAGTAACTTGTGCTGTCCCACTGGCACACTGAGGAGTCTGGGTAATCAGAGTATGGTGGCTCAGAAGGACATTACGAGGACCATTAGCCACATGAGCTCATGAGAAGTAACTGGAGCGCTGTGCTACAAGTGTGATCTGTGCGGTTTGGCTCTTCACTTGTCTGTTCCTAAAGTCAAGAAGAAGAAGAGGTGCTATTTTGTTCACATTATAATCATCGTTGGATCCACTTTTTTCCGAAAAGTCAGAAAAGTGAAATAGACTCTGCTCCATGTTGGGAGATGTAGGTTTCTGTGGAACGCTGAGGTTGTTGAAGTCCTCTCAAGATTCATTAATTTAGAATAATAACAATAGCAATTATACTGTGAGGAAACCAAACGCGTGTATATTGTATTTTTTTTTTGAGGCGCTCATCAAAAAACTTAGTGTTTTCTTTGGTTTTTAGGGGCATGAACAATAAGACTCCAACAAGTCTTCAACATGCTCCTATTCTGACATGTGAACTGTAGTTTGATCATTTGTAATATTGTTTTGGACATTTTGTTAAACACATGTAAGAAAGAATAAAGTCTATAGTCTAATTTGTCCATGCCATATCACATACTTATATTCCCTTTACATTTGTGCAACATAAACAAATAGGAACAGAAGGAAGACACAAAGCCTTATGAACCCCGGCGCTCGTTTAGCTGGTTTCAAAGACATTTTAACATTTTCTTCCCCAACATTATCCGTCACCAATCTATCATTTTTCCTTTCTATTCAATAAAAACAAACTTACTGCACACTTAAATATTTTAGTTTTATTCATTTTCAATCATAATTTTGTCCCTATACATAAAAAAAAAATAAAACATATTTTCTTCTGTGGTTCGAGTGTGATATAAAATTGAACCTCTCTTGAACGGCTTCAGACAATAGTTTGTGTTTGTCTTTCCGCACAATTAACAACATTTGAAGATCAACCAGATCTTTGGACTGAAGTTGTCTGGATTTTATTAAAGTTATTCGTGTGCTCTCTGAAGCCCTTTTTGTTTATGATTCTAATTAGATCTAATTAGCTTTTTTGTAAGAGAAACAGAGGTTTTGTTTTGTGAAGTGACTTCAGCACACTATGTCAAATATGGCAATATCAAGGAGCAATACAATATGTGGAGAGACTTACAATTAAATATGTATTTAGCTCTGTATAAAATATCGATACTTTTACTCATTTAACTTTCCATGTTTAACTGTTCGTCCAGAATGTACTCCATCTATGGCAATTTTAGAGATGTCTTTTTTAACCTGTTCCGAAAAACCATATATTTTGTTTTATCCCAGTTTAAGCTTAATTTATTGTCTGTAAACTAATGTCTTACTTTGATCATTTCCTTTTCGATGGTGACATGTTTGTCACTTAAATTGCTGAGTGGAATATACTTGAGTCATCAGCAAACAACAAGAATTGTAAGATGTTTGATGATTCACAGATGTCATTAATAGACAGAATAAAAAGCAGTGATCCAAGAACAGATCCTTGTGGGACCCCACAAACAACTTTTGTATTATTAGAATGAATACCATGTATATGTACATACTGCTGTCGGTTTGTGATGTAACTTTTGAGCCATGTGTAGGACGCCCCCCTGAGGCCGTATCTCTGCAGTTTTAACAGCAACAGTTCATGATTAATGGTGTCAAAGGTTTTGCGCAGATCGATGAAGACCCCCACAGTATATTCCTTTCTTTCAGTTGCATCAAGAATTTTTTCAACCAGCTCCGTCAGTGCCAATCCAGTTGATCGCTGTGTTCTTAATTCATAGTTTTTCACTAATTAATTGATGTTTATCTACAAAAAATTTGATAATTTTTGTAGAAACCATTTTTAAAGAATTTTGGAGAATTGTGAGAGAAGTGACACCGGTCTGTAATTATTGTAAACAGTGCTTATCACCATTTTGACGAATAACTTTAATTTTCAATGTCTTTAACTTTTGCAATTTTCATTCTTTCTGGGAGAACTCCAGTTTGTAAGGATACATTGCCAATGGTTCTTTTAACACTTGTCATGTCGAGACCCTCGCTGTCTGTTGAGGTTTTGTTTTCACATTTTCTTACTATGGACACTATTTCATATTCATTAACCTCCTCAAGAAACATGAACTGCAGTATTTCACTCCCAGATCACTTCTGTCACTGTCAGACTGGGGAGATGTATTCATGGATGTGGCAAAATTCTCCCCAATGTTTACAAAGTATGAGTTGAATCCATTGGTTATTTCAGTGTATGTTTAGTGTTTGTTCATTATTAACAAAGTAGTTCAGCAGGTTTGATTTGTGAGAGTTTGGTCTGAGGACTTTGTTCATAATATTCCATGTGACTTCCATGTTACCCTTTTTTTCCTCTAAAGACCTATTCTCCTTTCTAGACAGAGGATTAAATTCAGTCTCTGCAATGCTTTGTCCCTTTTCTCCCCTCCTCATCTGATAGATCATCTGACAGGAGTCAACATCATTAATAATCCCGTTCTAAAGTGTAGGCCTTGATATATAAGCCAGTATATAGGCAATTAATTACATTCTTTATCAATTTCGATGATTGTTCTGTTCATTTACAGGAACAGGGCACTCTGGAATACCATTGTTTACCTTCTGTTGAGTTTGTGCAGCCGACAGAAGGCAAAACTTGGAGCGGTGACACATTCTTGCCATAGTCTGTGCGATTGTCTGCAGCTCTCTCCATTTCATTCCAGTGTGTATCAGGTTTAGTGAATTTTGATACACAGCAATACATCCAACCAATCGAATCCCCGTCAAATGTATAATCTTGTTTTCTAATAATGCATTTTGTGTTAAAAATCTGATTCCTTTTGTCTTTTGATTAGATTTCAGATTAAGTGCATCTTTTTATGCATAACTTTTGGGATGATAATCCTTTTGTTGCGCAGATGGACATATGTGAGTTTAGTTGGTTTATCTTTGCTCTGAATATTAGCTCTTGGTCAGTAAAGACTCACTGTATTAGAAGCTACGCTAACATTGTCAGGTGTGAATATCTGATCAGTAACAGCGCTAAGCACATGTTTGGGGACTAGATAACTTGGATGACACGGGTAATAATTTATCATCCAAGTCTTTAGGTCTCCATGCAGATTCTAGTAGATCTGTCTGATTTGGTTTCAGAGATATAATAGTAAACTAGGAGCACAGAGGAGAATCCTTGTGGCACTCCAAAGGATCAGTTTGTTTTGGTTCTCAACAAACTGATCTGATAAATGCAATATGAACCAGCCAAGCACTGCTCCTCTGAGACCTGTTCCACATTCTCTTCTCTGCAGTAGAACTTTGCGGTCTATAATGAGTAATTTGTGACTTTAACTGGTGCTTGATAGTCTATTATTTTGGCAGTGGCTGCATACAGTAGGTGTTTTTCTATAAGCTTTTCAACAATTTCAAATAAAAAAGGAAGAGATTTGTCTAATTCATAAAGCAGGTTTGATTTCTGCGATTGCTGCACAGCCACTTTTATAAAAGTATCGTTTAGGTTTGAGATCCAATGTAGAATGAACTCTTATGTGTTTCAGATGAGGATCGTGTGTAAAGATGTATCTGCGGAGACGGTGTATGACGTGCTCCACGACACCCCCTACAGGAAGAAGTGGGACAGCAACATGATCGACACGTACGACATCGGACGACTGACGGTCAACGCAGACGTGGGCTATTACTCCTGTGAGTACTGCTGCTACTACTACGGCTACTGCTGCTGCTACTGCTGCTACAACTACTGCTACTGCTACAGCTACAGTTACTACTGCTACCGCTGCTACTACTGCTACTGCTACTAAGTAGGATTACTTATTACGGCAATTGTGAGCCAGCATTTATTTTGATCTTGTTTGATAAATGAACAGATTCAGAACGGGTTTGGTCCTGATGTTGTTTCAGGGAGATGTCCTCCTCCACTGAAGAACAGAGACTTTGTGACAATGAGGTCATGGCTTCCACTGGGCAACGACTACCTCATCATCAACTACTCCGTCAAACACCCTGTGAGTGACGTCACTACTGCAACTACTACTGTTACTTCTACAGAGAGGTCTGAGTCTGCATGTATACTGAGACAAGAGAGGTCTGAGTCTGCATGTATACTGAGACAAGAGAGGTCTGAGTCTGCATGTATACTGAGACTAGAGAGGTCTGAGTCTACATGTATACTGAGACTAGAGAGGTCTGAGTCTGCATGTATACTGAGACAAGAGAGGTCTGAGTCTGCATGTATACTGAGACAAGAGAAGTCTGAGTCTGCATGTATACTGAGACAAGAGAGGTCTGAGTCTGCATGTATACTGAGACAAGAGAAGTCTGAGTCTGCATGTATACTGAGACAAGAGAAGTCTGAGTCTGCATGTATACTGAGACAAGAGCGGTCTGGGTCTGCATGTATACTGAGACAAGACTGTGCAGAGTCATGTATACCGGTAAAGTGCTCATAGAAGAAAGACCTTGTGAGGACGTTGGCTAAAGTGTGTGTGTTTGTCCCATCAGAACCACCCTCCAAAGAAAGAGTACGTCCGAGCGGTGTCTCTGCTCACGGGATACTTCATCCAGTCCACCGGGCCCAGTTCTTCCACCCTCTACTATCTCACCCAGGTCGACCCCAAAGGTACCCACAATCCATCTGTTCTGTTTAAAACACACTATAATAATACAGGAAACTGACCTCTTCTCTTTTTTAAGCACGTCAATTTGTTTGTTGTTTTGGTTCCTTACACACTAATATCATGACTCTTCCCCTCACAGAAGACACTGTGTTGAATCTGTCATCATTCTTTTTTTGTTTCAGGTTCGTTGCCAAAATGGGTGGTGAACAGAGTGTCTCAGTTAGTGGCTCCAAAGGTAAAATGTCTCTTGTATTAATTTTATAGGTATTCTAATCGACAGTAGCTCAGATGGAAGAGCATTGGCCTTTTAGCCTGAAGGTCGTGGGTTCGAACCCACCAAAAGACTTTCTCCACTGAATCCCACTGATGTCTGCTGTCGTCCTGGCGAAGACACTTAACCTTACTTTGCCAGTGGGCATACTTGCATGCAAAAGCCAGATCCCGTCAGACCACTGAAGCTGTGCAAGTTAGGGCCTGGTTAAAACTGTGATGGGAGACCTCTGGGAACACCAGGTGCCACAGTGGGGAGAATGCAGCTGTAAAGTCCCAAGTTGCCATTGTGTCCTTAGGCAAAGCACTCCACCCACATTGCCTAGAATGAGTCTGGTGTGTGTGTGTGAATGCTTGGTGGTGGCCAGAAAGGCTGATGGCACACACTGGTTGCTTCTGTCTGTGTCCAGGGCAGCTGTGGCAACAGTAATGTGTATGGAGTGACTGAATGGGAGTGTCAATAAAAAGCGCTATATAAAACCAACGCACCATTATTATTATTCACATCCTCATTCTAAACAGTGTCAGCAAAACGTCAAAGCAGTATTTAGTGTACTTGGTATTTAGTTTTCTTGGTTTCATACAATAAAACCAAAAGACCAAGGTCTTTCTGTGCGGAGTGGATATAGCAGCTGCAATTTGTTAAAGCACAGTGATCATGTCTCTGGGACAATACAATACAATACAATGAATGATCTGGTTCTGTCTCCTTAGGCGATGCGTAAGATCTACAAAGCCTCACTAAAGTACCCGGACTGGAAGAGGAAGCACAGCCCCCAGCTGAAGCCCTGGCTGTACCCCGAGCAGAACAACCTGCCCTGCATGGACCCCTCCAGCCTCAGCCTCCAGAGGGCAGACTCCCTGGAGAACATCGACGAGAGCACGGCCAACGAGGAGAAGCCAGCCAAGGACCACAGCGACGAGGAGGGGGACTGAAGCCGGACTGAACCCAACCTAAACCTGAACAAGGACTGACCATGACTGAACCAGGACCGAACCAGGATAGCAGGTCTAGACAAAGCAAAACTTCCATATGATCATATCCTTTTTTCCCTTTCACTGTAAAAATTGTCTTGTAAAAACAGGTTTCTTTATTTGGGGTGTATTGATCTGATTGATTGCCGAGTTGTTAGTTACGGAATCAAACCAATTAAAAAGGTAACATTGTGTTTTGATGAGGGATTTGCAAGTTGCTGGTTTTTAAAGTTTTGTTTTGTCAATAAAAAATATTATAAAATGATGACTGTGCTGTGTCCTTTCTTGTGAAAAACAATGAGGAACTAAGTGGTGCAGTTCCATTCCATTCCAAACCCTGGTGTTTAAATTACCACGGATTACGATACACCTCCTACGCCCCCTGTTGGATCAGTCACTGATTATGACATTTAGCAAAAGATGTACTCTATAAAATATGTAAGAATTTATCCAGTCTTTTCTGTCAATTTTATATCTATTACAACCTGCAGATAAAGACATTTTATTAAATCTGAGATGGGCTTGGTTTGTTAATCATAGATTTTCACACGTTTAGCAAAACAACCCACCCCTGTGATCCCAACTCTGGGAAGATGAATCTTGTCTTCTTAGTAGATTATTTAATGGGAACAGTGTAGGTCATCGCAGGTAAAGATCGAGATAAATATCAAGCAGGTTGAGAAGATCAAGAAGAGAAGGTGCTGTCCGACTGGAGATGTGGAGTTGTTACACACTTTACACTAAACACACTCCAAGTGGTTTACAAAGGAATTGACGTCAGAAGAAAAGATCCCCTGCTCCTTTCCATAAAACTCAAGGTTTTGTAAAGTAAAATCAAAGTTTTGTAGGCACCAGTGTTAGGAAAGTTACTATTTTGTCAGTAATTTTGTTACACCCAACAATGGTTTGCACATGGTAAAGCCTAATGTATTTTTGAAACCATTGTGTGGACAAATCAGGTTAAATACAACATTCTGGATGGAATGAGCAACGGTATTACAGAAAGTACACAGAAATTGTCTGAATAGTTTATTATTTATTTATGGAAACTCTTGATATTTCACTTTGTTTAATTCTATAACTGTTCCCAACGTATTCATTGACAGCACATTATGTTCTCTTTCTACACTATGGAATATACAGTGAATGTGTTTGTTGACTTTAAAAGGGACTTAAAGGTCCTCCGTGTCAAATGGCCTCTCTTTCCCTTTGTTCACAGACTAGCCTAGTTTTTACTTCTCTGTAAAGTGCTGCTCTCTGCAGAACCTCAGAGGCCTGACTGAGGCCTCAGTGTCCTCTTTGTTTGCACCAAACATTAGGTGTCTGTCACTACATCAACAGTAAACAGAGATGGGAAGGGCTGTGATTGGTCATCCAAAAGACGTGATTTCTTTATTACTCTTCCTGGTGGCGGGAAAGAGCAGTCAGAGAAAGCAGATGCAAAGATCCTCTGTCTCAAGTCTACAGCTGTGAGAGACGAGAGGAGTCAGCCCGAAACACCTTTTGTCCAATGAAAGTCCTCGTTTAAGGGCTTTATTGCGCCTCACGTCACTTTGTATGTGTGTTTCCTTCACTACGAGAGGAGCCTGCCCTCCACGTTTAGAGGACATTTAGTTCTAAAAGTCTCTCTGAGCCTCAAAAGGTACTGCTGAAGGCCCTACACGTCGTACGGCCCCTCATCCTCCACTGTCCTCTGCCCTGCCTCCTCGGGCTCCTCTCCTCCTCCCAGGGCTGTCTCCAGCTCCTTCAGCAGCAGTTCCTCTGAAGAGGGACTGGACGGGGCATCTGATGGGTCCTCATCACAGCTCCCGGTCTCCTCCACGACGGGTGGGTGGACGGAGACTTCATGTGTCTCTGCAGCGATGCTGGATCTGAAGCTGGTCTGCAGGGACTGCAGGACCTGCAGGCCGAAGTCCCCCACCTCCTCGTATAGTGGCTCCCCAAACGAGTCGGGCTCTGGTCCAGGGCTGGGGTCCTCCTCAGGCTGCGCTGTCATGGGCTGCAACATAGGAACCCAAAGCCTTTGTTTAATCTCAGAATCTCGAGTAAATTATCAGGAAGTAAACATCCATCCACCGTATTCTGTAACATGTGTTGAATCCAAAAAAGATGAAGACATCTCTGAAGGCTAAAATCAGGCAGGTAAAACTTCTGCCTGTGCCATTATACATCCCAGCTTCTGTAGCAGGCAAGGAAACAGCGCTCTTACATGCCCCCCATCCATTCATAGAGGGGCCAAATATAATTAATTTTTATCAAACGTCTTGACACAAAAAGTGACTTACATATTTCATAATAAAGCAATTATCTTGACATAGAGTGAAATCCGAGGGATTTAAATTAAGACAAGCCACTTTTAACTTAGAATAACTGAGTTAAAAGTGGTGCATGTAAAAACACACATATTTACCGCCTGATTTGAGTCTCACGTTTCCAACCCGATATGGCATGTGGCCACAGATAGAACATAGAATAGTTGGTTGCTCTCCAAATATCATTAAAAAACTAATCTAGATTGCTGAGGGATGAACTACCACATCGGTCAGCCCAGAAGGAACCGTCCTTGACTGCCATTACATGGGCTCTCCCCGAGTAAAAAAAGTAAATAGTGAAAGGTGAAACCTTTTATAAATGAATAAATATAAATAACACAGATAATTAAAAAGTTCTTAAAATACTGTTTTCCAACGCCTCCCGTCCTATAGCCAATATAGCAGCACCTCTTTTGGTGCGACTTCAGCAAAAGCCAAGATCGTACCAGCTCCAGCCATTGGCTTTAATGTTTGAGGAGCTTTAGTTGAATTTACGACCGAATAATGCAATGAAAAGGTCTTATCGTCACGTGTTTGTAAGAGGCTAAAGCCAGAGGTCACATTCAGATTCATACACAACACCCACTTTCTCCTCTTTACTTGTTCTTCCTTTTTTTCAATGACCTTCTCTTTTCATGTTACCAAACCTGAAGCTGTCGATCATGGAAAATGGAAATCGTGGTTTGGGATAATTATTTTGATCTTATTCAACCTAAGAAGGAATTGTCTCAAATGCTCTTTGATGAGACGCCGACTGAAACCAGCAAATGTTGAAAAACTGTTTTTGATTCAAACCTGTGATCTGCATAAAGTGCAGTCCCTGTGTTTCTGTAAATTGCTTTTTGATGTAAACATACTTGTATTCAATTTAAGGAATCCTTAAAAAAAGATTATCAACAACAACACAGATATATTTATGTGAGAAAATAAAATGGAATGAATTTGAAACCAAATGTGAAACAATGGAGAAACAACTGCTCTTCAGAAGCTGCAATGATTACATGTGGCTTTTAGGTTCTTCTAATAAGACAATTAAAGCAAAACAAAGCTAGTACTGCTTAAATACCTGACATGTTTCGGCGGTACACTTCCGCCTTCATCAGAGGTGACACGTGATGGTGTGACGCGTCTCTTATCAGCTGTTGTTGCCGGAAGCAGTCAGTCTGACAGATCTCACAGATCCATCAGACTGACCACGTCCCCCGCCGCGCTGTGGTCTCTGGAGAAGTGAATCCCAAGTGTGAGCCAAGGTGAAGGCCCCCTCGTCTCTGTTGATGGTCCGTGTTCCCCGCTTCCTGATTTCGATCGCCTCTCGTATCCATCTTTTGTATTTATGTTCTTCTGTTCCTACTATTTTTGCATTGTCCCAGTCCAGGATGTGATTCTCTCTTTTGCAGTGGTCTGATATTGCTGATTTGAGGTTTTCCTGTGTTGCCTTTTCCTTGGTTGCTCTTGTTAGTCGCGCTGCCGTTTCTTTTTCGCATTCCTTTTGATGTTCCTTTCTTCTGGTGCTAAAAGCTCTCCCCGTTTCCCCGATGTATGTTTTATTACAGGTTCTACATGGTATTTCGTATATGACGTTGCACTTTTTTTCCGGTTGTATTTTGTCTTTTGGGTGAACGAGGATCTATCTGAGCTTCTTGTGTGGTTTGATAATTGCATTGATGTTGTGTTTTCCGAGTGCTCTCTGTATCTGCTCCGTGACCCCTTGTATGTATGGTATGGTGACTATGTCTTTGTATTCGTTGTGTTTTTGTGGTTGCTTTTTTCTCTGTTTTTGTGTGATCTGTTTGTTTAGTACCTGTTGTCTTCCTTTCTGTATTGCCCATCTGGGATATTGACAAAACTTGAGTGCTTGGATTATGTGTCCTTCTTCTTTTATCCTGTCTTCTTCCTCTGTGATGTTGTTGAGGTGTTCAAATAGTGTTCTGACAACGGATAGTTTGTGTGCAATGGGGTGTTCTGAAGTCCAGAGTAAATATTGATCAGTGTGTGTTGGTTTCCTATCTACTGTTGTCTTGATGCTGCCGTCCTGTTGGTGGTGAATGTTTAAGTCCAGAAAGGGTATGCAGCCCTCCCTCTCCTCCTCATGTGTGAATTGTATGTGTCCTGTTGGGTCTATGGTGTTGAGATGGTCAGTGAGGTCCTGTGTGTGTCCTGTCTTTACTTTTTCTAAAATGTCGTCAACGTATCTTTTCCATAGGGTTGGTTTGTATTGTTGTGGTGCTGTATTGATGGCTCTCTCCTCTAAATCCTCCATGAAAAAGTTGCTCATTATTGCAGATAGTGGATCCCCCATGGCAAAACCCTCCTTCTGTCTGTATATTCAATCAATCAATCAACGTTTATTTATAGAGCGCCTTTCCTACACAAGGCAACGCAAAGCGCCTCACAACCCATATAACATCATGCATAAATCATCAAACATTAATGTTACAATATTAATGTAACATAAATAATCATAAATAATCATAGTGCATTAAAAAGATTAAAGATAAAAACAAATATAAAATCATTCACTTGTATGCACAGCTAAAAAGAACTGTTTTCAGTTCAGTTTTAAAAACTGCTAGAGTAGACGCCTGTCTCACACTCTCGGAAAGACGGTTCCAGACTCTAGCTGCATGAATCTGAAACGCAGCCTCCCCATGTCTAGTTCCGACTCTTGGCACTAACAGAAGTCCAGTCCCTGTGCTCCTCAGAGCCCGAGTTGGTTCATATGGCACCAACATGTCGCGGATGTACCCTGGTGCGAGGCCATGGAGAGACTTGTACACAAGTAAAGCTACTTTAAAATCTATTCTCTGAGCCACAGGAAGCCAGTGCAGAGACCTGAGGACCGGACTAATGTGGTCGTACTTCCTGGTTCTAGTCAGGACTCGAGCTGCAGCATTTTGGATGTACTGCAGCTAGTAGAATTTAAGTAAACATAAAACACAAGTAGACAGATTAAGAGCACAGCAAGATATATAAAATCACACAAGTATTAAAAACCGATAAAAAGCATTAAAATGCACACAAAAAAAGGACTTACAATCAAAACGTAATAAGCTCATAAAACAGAATCATCCCTGGGCGCCTCATTATAGGCACCTAACAGTGCCGCGGATTACCCTGGTGCGACATGGAGAACTTGTACACAAGTAACAGCTACTTTAAAATCGATTCGTCAACAGAACCCATCAGAACCCTGAGACCGACAATGTGTCGTACTTCCTTGTTCTAGGTCAGGACTCGACTGCAGCAGTTTGATGTACTGGCAGCTGTTTAACCGCTTGTGTAGAGAGACCTGGAACAAGCCATTGCAGTAGTCCAATCGACTGAGACACATCTAGCTGATAAGAATCTCCAAGTCTGCGTTAGACACTATGTTTTGAATTTTAGCAATGTTTCTTAGTGGAAGTAAGCTGATGATGTCACAGATGATATGATGGCGATTGACATGTTTAGGCTGAGTCCATTTATTCCTCCTAGATTTCTGACCTGATTGAGTTTAGGAAGAGACGGAAGGTGGCAGAGAACGCTCTCTCTTTGTTTTTGAGGTCCAAAAAACATAATTTCATTTTTCTGTGTTTAGCTGGAGAAAGTTATTTTGCATCACACTGATTGTTGATACAGTGAAGAGCGATCCACGCCATTTCTCCTCTTCAGGACTCATAACCTGAGTATCGTCATCATAATTTATTGACACGTATTTCTGTTTAACCTACCCAAGGCAGCATGTAAAGATTAAACACGAGGCACAAAATTGAGCCCTGTGGCACTCCGCAGTTGGCCAATGGTCAGAGATAACCAGTTCGCCGAGCTCCACAAAATACTTTCTGTCTATTGAGGATTATATAAACCACTTAGGCTGTCCAGAATCACCAAACCAGTCCTCAAGTCTCTGAAGTAGGATACCATGATCGACAGTGTCAGAAAGCTGCACTTAAATCTAACAGAATAAAACTGAGACTTTTCCCTGCGTCAGTGTTATGTTCTGATGTCATTTGTTACCTCACTAACGGTCTCTTGCTGGTGGTCAAAACCAACTGGACATTCTAAAGATGATTGATTATTAAAAAGTTCTGTAAGGTGTATCTTCGTGTTCTTTAGTTGACCCAGAAACAATTTTAAATGGGCCGATAAC